GTCAGGATCTGCATCAGCCCGTTAACTTTCTTGACCTTCCTCAGTCTGCACCTTGTTACCCTACAATGTTTCATGTTTATAAAGATAGGAGGCTCCAGCTGTTTTGGCCTGACAGAACTTAATTTACATTTGGCCTTCATTAAGATGAGAGTCAGAATCATTGAGACCAAATGGAAAAGCCAGACTGCTGGGGGTTATGAAAAATTCAAATGGCATTTTTCCTTTTATCTGACAGTTCTTATTAAGGAGACATACGTCAACCTGAAACACATAAACCTTAAACGTAAAGGACATGATTAAAATTCCATGTTGCAGAACTGGGACCCGAGTGACTTTGCCTAAGAGCTACAGTGGTCCTAGTACATCACTTTTGTCTTCTGAGAAGTCTGAACTCCAAAATCTGCCCAACAGTCTGACATCTGATTCCAAGCTAAGGACACAGGAGCACATGAATGATAGCAATACTGCAGTGAGTGGTCAGCTGTGACTCCTCCATCGAGCTCACCCCTCATAGCCAATCAATCTCAATGTCCTGCTAACATTATCCCCTAAGGATTTCTGGAACCTATCTCCTCTTCTTCCTACAGTATATAATTCAGGTTTCATTACTTCTCACCTGGAGTACTACAACTGTCCCTTACTGGGCCACTCAAATTATTCAAATGATATTTACTGAGTACCTACTGTGTGCCAGGCATTTTATTAGGGGTAGGGAAACAGCAATGAACAAAATGGATATGATCTCCATCCTCCGGTGGATTACAATGGCTGGAAGAGATAAGCATTATACAAATAATCATACAAACTGACTTACCATTACAGTTTGTGAAAGGCATAATGAAGTAAAATTAAGAGCACAATGACAAGAGACCTCTGACTTACTTGAGGGTCAGGAAAGGCTTTTCTAAGGATGTGACAATAAAGCTGAGACCTAAATGATCAGTTAGAATCAGTGGTGAGTAGAGGGAAGAGCATTCATAGAATAAGGCACAGCATTACATCATCAAGACCAGGGGTCAGCAAACTTTTCTCTAGCAGCCCAGTGAGTAAATATTTTCAGTGTTTCAAGCCATACAGTCTCTGTCTCCACTACTCAGTTCTGTCAATGTAAAGGAGTCATCAGCAATAAATAAACAAATGAGTATAGCTGTGTTCCAGTACAGCTCTATTTATGGCTGCTAAATTTTAGCTTCATGTAATTTTTCTAAGTCACAAAATACCATTCTTCTTTTTGATTCTTTTTTAACCATTTGAAAATATAAAACCCATTCTTAGCTCCTAGGACATCCAAAACAGGCAGCAGGCCAGATCTGGCCCATGGGCCCTAGTTTGCCAATCCCTAGTCAAGACTCAGTGGTGGCAAAGAACTGGGTGTGTTTGAGGCCTGCTGAGTGGATTCCTGTGGATGGGTCAGAGTGAGCAAGTTGAGGGACACACAGTAAGCATAAAAGGGGAGGTAAAAATGACATCACATACCATCTTCTAGGCCACATTACAAGTTTTGTAATTATCTTCAGAGCAAAGCAAAGCCAACACAACCAGCTGACACTATTGTCACATAGTGTCACAAAGTGCTATATTCAGGAAAGGAAGAAAACTAGTTCTTATTTCCACACACATATATTTTCCCACCCCAGTCCAATCTCTTCATCCCTGCCAAAGGTCTCTAAGACATTCTCTCCCTTGCTTAAAAGCCATCGACTAATTTCACCAAAGAAGCCCTTAATAAACTGCACTAAGCTACTTACCTGCCTCATTTCCTACTACACTCAGGGAAGCTTCCCAGGCTCTGGTATCAGGACCTACATACCTTAGCATAAATGAACCATAGTCTCTCTCCAGAATATTCTGTCTGTCTTCTCTAGTTGGCAAAACCTTCACTTACATCTTGAGACTTATCTCAATAACTCCTCCAGGAAGCAAATTGTTTTCCCTGAAAGCACTTTGCATATTCCTGCATCATAGTGCTCAGCCTATCTTCTGATGGCTCTGGTTCCACAGCTCTTTCCTCCACCGGCCCCACTCCTAGCTTACGGAGTAGCCCACATCCCTACCACTGTCCCCAGTGGACTCTGTGCCCTTCAAGAGTAAAGCTGAGTCTTCTTTGTGCCCACGTCCCCAGTGCCCTTTACATTGCTGGTTCACAGCAGGACCTCAAATTAATGTTTAGCAAATTAAGGAACTAAGAAAGAATAAACAAATGACAGTTTGTCTTGCCTGAGTGTCCCAGCCCTGGGAAAGTTCACTATGGATTCAGTGAGACCCAGAAATGACAATGGAACATTCTTGGGGTAAAAGGGTTTATATCTGGCTCTATTTTCCTAGCCATAGGTCAAGCACTAGAACTACATCTGCGTCCAGCAGTCTGCAGGTCTGTAATCCACCTCCATGTCTGCCTCCACTCAGAGATCTGGGCAGAGCTCTTTATATAGTGACTCAGTCAACAAGAGCTTATTGCCTAGGGTGTGGAAGCAGTAGCCTAGCAGCAGGCCAATTACACCATCAAGTAGTTCAGGTCAGGTGAGAATCCTGGCCATAGGAACTTCCATTTCCCCACACAGTCCCATGAACTCAGCACAGTCTCTGGTTCTGTTCTTGAACATTGCTGAGCAAGCAGGTCTGCTGAAGCTACCTAAATTTCTTATGCCCCAGGGTCCAATAACCCTATGAAAAAGAAGTACTGTTTCCTGATTCTCCACAAATCGGTGCTTTTCAGGATACTAGATGTGGATAAAATGAGTTCCTGTGGCCAGGATTCTCACCTGGCCGTGGTTCACTAGCTCATTGCACACCTGTGGGCAATACATGACTGTTGACTCTAGATAAAGAGCTCCGCCCAGTGCTCTGGGCACGACATGGTGGCAGGGCTGCAAGGCTGCAGGAGAGCAGAGCAGAGGCTGGAGTGGTGGCAGTGCCGAGGACAGAGGCCCAGAGGATGGCTGTGCAGGACGACTGTGCAGAGAGGCCCAGAGGACAGCTGTGCAGACAGAGGGGCCCAGAGGTAGAGACTGGCTTGCTGCATGCAGACTCGCTCTGAGTGAATGGGATTCTAGTGACTGACCTGCCACCTGGAAATAAAGTTGGGTATAACCCTTTCACCCCAAAGAGGGTTCTGCTGTCAACTTTCTTTGGTCACATTGAATCCATAGTGAACTTGCCCAGGGGATGAAACCCATTGGCAAGACACTAGGGAAGAGCCTTTAGAACTGTAAGTGGTCTTACAAGTCTGTAGGCCACCAGCAACATCAGCGTTGCCTGAGAGCTTAAAAACCAGCAGCTAATCTCTATCTTCAAATGCAATTCTCACGCAAATTTTCATTCCCACCTCAGGACTACCAAATCAGAACCTGCAGTTTAACAAGACCTCCAGGTGATTTACTTAAACATTCAAGTTTGAGAAGTGCTGAAAATCATCTTGGTCGGGCTTTAAGGAGAAAATGCTAAAACTGATTATTTTAGAAATACCTTTGTATTTTGCATTTGTAATCACTATAAAACCAAAGGAATCCTCCGCGGAGATTCCTGTGCATGCTTACCAAGAAGTAAAGATAAATTTTAAAAACTTTAAAAACAGATTGGAGACTCAACCTTCAGGTAATTAAATACAGATAAGGCAAAGTTTAGGGCCCTGCTCAAAAAATTCTTAAATGAACTTAGATGGGGGAAAGGATGCATGATTGGGTGGAAGGATAGATGGATGAATGGATGAATAGTCTTAGAAGGTTACAATCACTGCCATGCAGTCTAGAGCTTAATTATTTTCTTTGGGCTTTATTTAGTGTAACTTTATCTCAAGTACACAATTGTTAAGTATTCTGAGAGGTTCATACCCAATGTATATTTAGATCTTTTGGGGTACACAGCCACAAGCTGGCTACAAAGCAGATGTTAAGAACTGATGATGATGCACCAATGACCAACCACCTGATCTTCCTCACCTTAACTCAGGATAGTTCTTCCTTACCTGTGGTCAAGAAGGGTGATATATCCAATCCTTTGTCCTCTTGCACCAAGTGTAGGATGCCCTCATTCCTGGTCCTACTACCCTAAGTGGCATCCTTTAGAGAGGGACTTTAGTGCTATGACATGATGGGGTGAGTCAGGATGTAAAGCCCACTAGACAGGGTTTCAATTGCAGCTCTACCACCTATCTGGGGAAGTCACATAACCCTCTCTCAAGCCTCAGCTTCAGATGATGCCTACTAGGCAGAGCTTGTCAGGGTTAAATCTATTGATACCCACCTAGGGGTTTTCAAATCCCTGAGGTTCCCAAAGGACTTGAACTTTCTCACACATCCTACTCTGTTGGGAATTACTAAGCTGACATCACCATTCTCCACACTTCACAAAAGATCCTCACATCTGGAAATAGGGACCACCCGCAAATTCTTTGTCAGGAGAGCACCACATCACTCAAGGACACTGAAACTCAAGATCAGGTGAGATGACAAAGGATATACCTTAAAAAGCCACCAAAGCCAAAGAGCAATCACTGAAGGCTACAAGTGTACAGAGAAAGCAGGCTCTCGTCAGAAGGTATGGATTTAATTGCAGCTCTGCCCCTTTCTAATTGTAATGGTAATTAACCTCTCTGAACTTCAGTAGAGTACTGGATATTAAGAGAACCGATTTTGGAGTCACCACTCTTAGATTCAAATCCTGGCTCTGTCACATACTGACTGTCACTTTGAGTGGGTTGCGTAATCTCTATTAACTTGTCTACAAAGCACAGACCAAAAAAAACTGACTTCACAGATCTACTGTTAGGATACAAGGAGATAATGTGCCAAACACTTTTGTGCCTCACATGATTTAAGCATATAAAACCAGGAATGATTTAACTGCAACCTAATCAATAAAAGGGGTCAATCTTCCTTAATAGAGTTGCTGGGAAAAATCAGATATAACAGACTTCAGCAGGGTGGCTCGTACAGACAGATCCACAATAAATGGGATCCCCTGCAATGATCAGTATCATCTCCTCACCCCAAGACACTCACCTCTTTCAGCCACAGAAGCTTAGGAGCCTGCATTTCCACAGACATCGCACCCCCGACATGCTGCAGGACACTGTGCTGGGTTTCATTGATCCTTTGGACCTGACTGACCGCCCGGTGGTCCAGCCACATGATGACATTTCGATGGGAATCCCCTAACAGAAACAAGGGAGATAAGGACACACATATTCTCATCCTTCTACTCAGGGGGGCACTTGTAGATTCCCAAGTGCAAAAGTCTGCACAACTACTATAATTTCATACATCAACGAACAAGTGAAAGGACCCCCCACCCCAACACTGATCTACCCAACGTTGGGTTTCCCTTTAGGAGATGTGTTCTTTGAATACAGCCTCAGGGTTAAGCATCTAAAACCAGTCAAGATCTATCAATTAACACTATTATTATGCATTCTCTTTCGACTTCTTTCTCTCCTTTCCTATCCCTTTTATTCTAGAAAAACCCCTTTCTGGATATATATATTCAGGAAAAGAGTCTATGAAATAAGCCTAAAACAACACTTTGACTTTTTAAGATATATCTTCTTTAAATATGGGAAAATTTTTAGATGATATAATACATCTAAATAATACATTGAATACATCTACACAATGGCTTTTATCTGCTTATATTCCCACTTTTTCTAGTCATTTTGACTAAAATTAGTTAATTTGGGTGTTTTTTCCTCACTTGATTGGTTTGTTTGGTGAAATAGGAAGCACTGAAACTTTCCAGTTTGGGAATCAGACAGACCTAATGGGGAATGCTGACTCTTTCTGTTACAGGTCTCTGAGACATACGAGAAAGTTACTAAATTCTTCTCAGACTAAGTAAAATGAGGATAGCCAACACCTAATATCATATAAGAATCAACTGAGATTTTTTTCACTCACTGAATAAAAGGTAATTCACATAGAGGATATGGCAAGTACCTGTCGCACAGTAGGCCCTCAAGGGGAATAAACTACAAGGAACAGAACTTAAATCCAGCTGGGAAAGGAGGCACTGCCCCCCATATCCTTCCTCTACCATCCTGCAGCCCACACAAGCACACCCCTTTCTCCCTTCCCCAGCTGCTGTTAATCCCTCAGGCACTGACCGACAAGCCATACTCGTTTTCCAGACCTCTGCTCCCTCAGATGGCAGAATGCAGAGAACAGCAGTGAATATACCTGGGAAATTCTACAAGGGAAAGATAAAAGGGGACCCAACAGTAACTGAACCAAGCACTCCACACATTAACTTATCTCATGGCATTATCTTAACTGAAGCGATTACATGACTTTGTTAATAACAAATATTTATAAAGCTTTGTGTGTCCGAAGCCCTGTGCTAAACATTGTGCACACATCATTTAATCCTCAAAACAACCATCAGATCTAGGTCATTTTTAATGACAAACGGACTCCGGGATGGAAGACATGCTTACTGTCTCACAGCTGGGGAAAGCAAGAAGTGTGCTTTGAAAACAGATCTGTGCAGAGAATAGATAAATAAATTGGTGAAACAAATTTACACTGACGCTACACATCTCAATATGAGTAATGATACCAGCTGGGATATTTTTAAACACAACATACATTGTTTGCTGCTGTGAGTATATGCAGATGAAGCAAAAGCACAGAAACAATGTTTGTGAACACCAGCTTCAGCACCACAGTCACCTGCTGGGCAGAGGGGTGATGGAGGGCAGAGGCACAGATTTAAGTTTCAAGCAGCTTAAAAAAAAAAAAAAAGACGCGCCAAATACGGCAAAATTTCATCTACCTATCCTCAGTAGTGTGTACATAGGAGGCTGTTTTATTTTCCTTACTCTTCCATATCTTTGAATTTTTAAACCTGAAAGAAAAAACACCCACCTGATACCTAAATTAGGGTATCATCATCATAATGAGATAAGGTCTGTCACTGGCTTGCCTGTCTGGAAAGATTTCAGGTTCCACTTCAAACAACAGTAATACTTCAAAAATAAGAGAAAGTACATAAGACCTGCCATAGGTACATCTAATTTTTTTTTAACAGCTGAGTAAATAAACTGTATAACAAAACTTCTTAAAGCTCTGGTTCTCAACCTTAGTTGTATATCCAAATCACTTGGGATAACTTGAGAAATACTGATGGCAAGCTCCTATTCCAGAACCATCATAGAGTCAGAATGTGGGCGTGTGGGTGTTGAGGGGACAACATCAGTAATTGTTCTGCCAATTGGTTTCAGCCCCAAACAAGCTCACTACAGATTCAATGAAACCAAAAAAATGACAATGGAACATTCTTGGTGTGAAAGTGTTTATACTCAACTTTATTCCCACAGTGGCAGGTGAATCACTAGAATCCTGTCCACTCAGAGCAAGTCCATGCAGCAAGCCGGTCTCTGCCTCTGGGCCTCTCTACCCCCACAGCCACCTCAGTTGCTGTCCTCCGCACAGCCACCCCTCCAGTCTCGGCTCTCCTGCAGCTAGGCAGCCCAGAGCACTGGGCGGAGCTCTTTATATAGAGTCAATAACAATGTATTGCCCACACGTGTGTAGTGAGCTAGCCGACCAGTCAGGTAAGAATCCTGGCCACAGGAACCTTCACTTTCTCCACAGTATTCTTCTTAAATATTGCATAGAATGTATCTGCAGCTGCTTCACGATAAAAACACCTGTTGCTAAATCTTTCAACTGTAAAGACAGACTTACTTACTCAACAGCTGCTACTGCTTCTACCTGTAGAAGCTCCCAAAATCCAATCAAAAGGACCATGAAAATTTCACAGAATTTTTATATTTATTATAATTATTCATATTTTCACTGTAGACAAAAACCAGGAAGTTAAAAAAACTTTTTTTCTGCTCTTCTAGAAAATCACAAATAAATGCCTCCACTGAAAGTTCAGTTTATCATTTGCTGAGCAAATTCCAGGCACAGTGCTGGGTGCTGGGCTATCAGAAAGAATATGCCAGAATCCCTACCTTTATGGAGCATGTGGTTGAATGGAAAAAACAGTCTATATAGGGCGCTGACTGTCAGAAGGACGTGGAACACCGAGGAGCAGGTGAACAGAAACGGCCCTTGTTAGCTGGGCCTGAGGCTGCACAGAAAGCTTTCAAGTGGCAGGAAAGCTTTAAATTAGTTCTGAAAATGACTAGCCTTTGGTTAGCTAGGTGAAGAAAGAGTGAGGTGGAAGGTCCCACACAAGAGAGACAGCCTGTGAACAGAGTGCAGACGAAGAAGGTGTTATACTGTAAGACAATTGGAGGCAATGTAGTAGAGAATGGGGATTATAGAGTCAGTTACCTTAAGGGCAGAACATTCATCCATGTATTCATTCAACTATGATTTTGAACACCTGACAGGAAGTGCTTCAAGCATGCTTGAGGGTAATTCCCATGAATTAGCAGAAACACCTTTGGGATTCAGTTCTGAGTAGTCTGGTAGTAACTTCCCAATTCCAAGTTACCACCCTTGGTTCTTCACCCTCCCAGGACTCCTGTGGCTGGGATAAACCAGCCAGAACTGTGTTCTGAGCCCGGTGGGCTGCAGAAGGAGGAAGCCTGCAGCCACAACACCACTGTCCAATCCAGGGGCTGTCCGGACCTTCAGAGCAAGAGAGATCAAAGGAGAAAAAGCTCCCCACCAGACTATTTTATCATGCACTGATGATTAGTGTTCTTTAACTACTGTACTTTAATTGGTATCTGATCTTTGTCACTGAAGATGGTAACAGTTTTGCTGGTCTTACAGGTTTGGTTTTAATGATGATGGACCATTTCCTGACAACATTCCCTGTTTCTCATCATTACTCCAGCTAACCAGTCAAGAATTGATTACTACTATGCAGGTAGAAGTCTTTAAAGTACGTTTGAACCACCTTTAAAATTCAAATTCCATTGTCAAGCACAGGAAAATCCAATTTAGATAAAATTTAACCTTAATAGAACCTGTGGAAAGGCAAGAACCTCATGAGGGGCCTGCAGCTGGATGCACCTGATGAATGGGTATAGTTAGGTGGAATAAAATTAATTCAACACTTACAGTTAGGGTTGCATCCTAGCTACCCTTTTAACAGAAATGTTGTTAACAGGAGGCAATTCTACCTCTAATAAGAAGATGGCATCCAGACAGGGTGCACTTGTAAGCAAACTCTCTTCTTCCACAGTAAGTGTTCCTGTTCCTAATGTTTTAGTTGTCTATTCAGCTGTACCCAGTGATTCTCCACATACTAGAATTATGCAGAAAACTTTCTTAAAAATACTGATGTCTAGCCTTACCCCAAGCCAAGTGAATACAAATCTTGGGGTAAGGTTCATGAATTGGTCACTTAAAAAAAATTCCCAGTTGATTCTCATGTATAGCCAGAGTTGAAAACCATTTGTTTTAGCATATTAAAAGGATCTAGAGTCTTTGGAACTTAGGGCTCTTAACATCTGAAGTTCTACCTAAACTGAGAATTGCTCTTCCAACATCCCTGATGGACCTTCACTTGACCTCTACCTAAAGAAAGCCAATAAAGGAAGCATGGATAACTCCCACATTGGCCAGCTCCAAAGCTGGCCAAATCTCAAAATTAAAGAGTGCTTGCTGCTTGCTGCTGAGCTCAGATCTGCTGATTTGGCCCCATTCCTCTAGTTTCTGTTTTCTGAAGTGGCCCAGAAATGGGGTACCCTGCCTTCCTAGGCCAGAACAATGCCAGCTGAGCCAGTGATCAAACACTGAGAACAAGGACCATGCATATTAGAACTGAACCTAAATCAGACAAGCCTTGGCACACAGGAGATGCTAATAAATATGGCAGAAAAGGAAAAAAGTTGTGGGTGTTGAGGGGACAACATCAGTAATTGTTCTGCCAATTGGTTTCAGCCCCAAACAAGCTCACTACAGATTCAATGAAACCAAAAAAATGACAATGGAACGTTCTTGGTGTGAAAGTGTTTATACTCAACTTTATTCCCACAGTGGCAGGTGAATCACTAGAATCCTGTCCACTCAGAGCAAGTCCATGCAGCAAGCCGGTCTCTGCCTCTGGGCCTCTCTACCCCCACAGCCACCTCAGTTGCTGTCCTCCGCACAGCCACCCCTCCAGTCTCGGCTCTCCTGCAGCTAGGCAGCCCAGAGCACTGGGCGGAGCTCTTTATATAGAGTCAATAACAATGTATTGCCCACACGTGTGTAGTGAGCTAGCCGACCAGTCAGGTAAGAATCCTGGCCACAGGAACCTTCACTTTCTCCACAGTATTCTTCTTAAATATTGCATAGAATGTATCTGCAGCTGCTTCACGATAAAAACACCTGTTGCTAAATCTTTCAACTGTAAAGACAGACTTACTTACTCAACAGCTGCTACTGCTTCTACCTGTAGAAGCTCCCAAAATCCAATCAAAAGGACCATGAAAATTTCACAGAATTTTTATATTTATTATAATTATTCATATTTTCACTGTAGACAAAAACCAGGAAGTTAAAAAAACTTTTTTTCTGCTCTTCTAGAAAATCACAAATAAATGCCTCCACTGAAAGTTCAGTTTATCATTTGCTGAGCAAATTCCAGGCACAGTGCTGGGTGCTGGGCTATCAGAAAGAATATGCCAGAATCCCTACCTTTATGGAGCATGTGGTTGAATGGAAAAAACAGTCTATATAGGGCGCTGACTGTCAGAAGGACGTGGAACACCGAGGAGCAGGTGAACAGAAACGGCCCTTGTTAGCTGGGCCTGAGGCTGCACAGAAAGCTTTCAAGTGGCAGGAAAGCTTTAAATTAGTTCTGAAAATGACTAGCCTTTGGTTAGCTAGGTGAAGAAAGAGTGAGGTGGAAGGTCCCACACAAGAGAGACAGCCTGTGAACAGAGTGCAGACGAAGAAGGTGTTATACTGTAAGACAATTGGAGGCAATGTAGTAGAGAATGGGGATTATAGAGTCAGTTACCTTAAGGGCAGAACATTCATCCATGTATTCATTCAACTATGATTTTGAACACCTGACAGGAAGTGCTTCAAGCATGCTTGAGGGTAATTCCCATGAATTAGCAGAAACACCTTTGGGATTCAGTTCTGAGTAGTCTGGTAGTAACTTCCCAATTCCAAGTTACCACCCTTGGTTCTTCACCCTCCCAGGACTCCTGTGGCTGGGATAAACCAGCCAGAACTGTGTTCTGAGCCCGGTGGGCTGCAGAAGGAGGAAGCCTGCAGCCACAACACCACTGTCCAATCCAGGGGCTGTCCGGACCTTCAGAGCAAGAGAGATCAAAGGAGAAAAAGCTCCCCACCAGACTATTTTATCATGCACTGATGATTAGTGTTCTTTAACTACTGTACTTTAATTGGTATCTGATCTTTGTCACTGAAGATGGTAACAGTTTTGCTGGTCTTACAGGTTTGGTTTTAATGATGATGGATCATTTCCTGACAACATTCCCTGTTTCTCATCATTACTCCAGCTAACCAGTCAAGAATTGATTACTACTATGCAGGTAGAAGTCTTTAAAGTACGTTTGAACCACCTTTAAAATTCAAATTCCATTGTCAAGCACAGGAAAATCCAATTTAGATAAAATTTAACCTTAATAGAACCTGTGGAAAGGCAAGAACCTCATGAGGGGCCTGCAGCTGGATGCACCTGATGAATGGGTATAGTTAGGTGGAATAAAATTAATTCAACACTTACAGTTAGGGTTGCATCCTAGCTACCCTTTTAACAGAAATGTTGTTAACAGGAGGCAATTCTACCTCTAATAAGAAGATGGCATCCAGACAGGGTGCACTTGTAAGCAAACTCTCTTCTTCCACAGTAAGTGTTCCTGTTCCTAATGTTTTAGTTGTCTATTCAGCTGTACCCAGTGATTCTCCACATACTAGAATTATGCAGAAAACTTTCTTAAAAATACTGATGTCTAGCCTTACCCCAAGCCAAGTGAATACAAATCTTGGGGTAAGGTTCATGAATTGGTCACTTAAAAAAAATTCCCAGTTGATTCTCATGTATAGCCAGAGTTGAAAACCATTTGTTTTAGCATATTAAAAGGATCTAGAGTCTTTGGAACTTAGGGCTCTTAACATCTGAAGTTCTACCTAAACTGAGAATTGCTCTTCCAACATCCCTGATGGACCTTCACTTGACCTCTACCTAAAGAAAGCCAATAAAGGAAGCATGGATAACTCCCACATTGGCCAGCTCCAAAGCTGGCCAAATCTCAAAATTAAAGAGTGCTTGCTGCTTGCTGCTGAGCTCAGATCTGCTGATTTGGCCCCATTCCTCTAGTTTCTGTTTTCTGAAGTGGCCCAGAAATGGGGTACCCTGCCTTCCTAGGCCAGAACAATGCCAGCTGAGCCAGTGATCAAACACTGAGAACAAGGACCATGCATATTAGAACTGAACCTAAATCAGACAAGCCTTGGCACACAGGAGATGCTAATAAATATGGCAGAAAAGGAAAAAAGTGTGTGTGTGTATAAGATGGTCATCATTACCACTGTGCTCTAACCATTCATTCATTTGCATACTTTTTCAGCACATGTAATTTATAAAAATCACTGTTCTAAATTAGGTCCAGAGAAGTGGGTGGGGCACATTCTCTTAAAGAACTCATAATCAGATGGAAGAAACGTTTCTGAGCATTCAGGCATCAGGCTCTCAATTTTCACAGCAAAGCTGTTTGATTATTTAAATTCTTTCAGAGAAGAACACTAAGAAAGTTAAGTGACTTGCTCTAGGTGTCACAGCTCAGCAGTAGTATAGATGAGATCTGGGGTTTGCCTGACTCCAATTCCAGGGTGTCCCAGTGTGCCCTCTTATCCAGAGACACTGGTTAAGAAGGGTGCTACTACAGCTTAACACCAGTTAAGAAAATCATGATTAAATAAGGATCCATTTACTAAGGGTCCTCCAACAGTCTAGTCCAACAGGTTTGCAATGGCTACCTTAACAACTGCCTGACAAAGTCGACAGCTACCTTCCTTGAGACAGAGCATGCAAATTCCAGTGCACCATAGTCTCCATCATTCCCAAATGCCTTCCACTCATTACAAGGTTAAATATCAGTTGAAATCTCCCCTTTGTGCTGTTTTTTTCCTCAAACCTGGCCTATTTTTCTCACGTACATCAACTACATGACTAGTGTGGACTTCTGGGTTTGCAACCTCAGCACTAACACTAATGGATACAAGTTCTCAAAAGGGATACATCCTTACCTATAAAAAAACTTCTAATGGTGGGCCCCCAAGTGACATTTATATTTGAAAGAGCTCATTACTAAAAGTGTTTATTACAACAATATCATTAAATGGGAGGTCTTTGATATGGTTATTGAAAACAGAAAATAGAACAGTCATCTGTTTTCAGTTTCTGTGTGATACATGGTCCTGTGTGCCTGATTCTATTTCCTTTAAATGGCCTTGACTCACCCACTCGAATGTGGTATAGAAGCTTCATATGTAAGCAGAAGACATTGACAAGCCCAACCTAGAACACTTTTCTGTTTTAAGGCTACTCACTCTGTGCTAATGATCCCATGTCCTTCCTTAACCAAGCTCTCTACTACGGCTCTTGTTCATTATGGACCAGGTCTCTCCCTAATCCATCCCCTGATGTCATGCCACTCCCACCAATTGTTCTCTAGGCTTTTAACCTCTGGGACCTTATTTCTGGTCTCTAGACACCACCTATAAATCACTATTAATGATAAAAAAACACCTGACCTCATGTTTCACTTGGGTCCCAACCAGTCTCCCACCACCAGGGAAAGAAATAGAAATGGTCCTACCTTCATTGTTTACTGGTAAAGGATGAAACTGCTCATCCAAAACAACCAGAGAACACGTGGCATCAAACCCAAGCCCTCGAATTTGGGTTAAATCGATCCCTTGTACAACTTCCTGTTTAAAAAACAAACAAAACATAAATTACAATGCAGGCTTTTAAAGTGAAAAGAGTTACAACTAGAAGAAAATGAATAACAGAATATCAATAGAATATCAGAATATCCTATAAATTAATAAGAAAAAGACAATCTAGTTGAAAATTAAGCAAAGGACATGACAAGTCACTTCATAAAACAAATAGTCAAAAACACACAAAAAGAATTCCAACTCCACTACAATTAAATAAATAAATAAAAATACACCAATTTTTGCTTTTCATATTGGCAAAAATGTAAAAGATTAATAATATGCAGTAGTGGCCAGAAAGGAAGTAGATCTTCTTTTATGTTATTCTAATAGTGCAATAATTTAGTACAAATTTTGGAGAATAATTTCAAAATATTAAAATTGAAAACATGAATAACTTTTGGCCCAACAATCCTACATCTAGGAACCTATCTTAGCAAATTATTAGCATGAATATGTAAAATTCTATGTAGAAAAAGATTAACTGTTGCGCTGATTAAGAATATATTTAAAAACTGAAATTATTTTTTTATTAAATTAATTATGGTACATTTATAAAATAGAATATTCTATAGGCATTAAAAAGAAAGAAGTAAAGAAAAAACTTAGTTCTGGGTGCGGCAGTATGAAGAGGTTAACAAAACCTCTTGGCAAATAAAAGTATAAAACTTGATAAAATCATCAAAAACAACCACTTTGGGGCTATGGCACTTGACCAAAGCCACAGGAAAAATTGGGAAGCATTTATTCTTGAAAAGTCAAAATTGTATTTAAAACATTGCCACCCCACCAAAAAAAATAAGAAAGAAGGAAAAAATCTAGGACCAGGTGGCCTCAATCAGAAATTAACATTCAAGGAAGAAATAATACCATTCCTATACAAATTTGTTTAGGAGGAAACATTTTCAACAAATTTTGCATGGTATTCCCTGGTACTAAAGCCAAACAAAGACATCAAAAAGGAAAGGATATTATAGACCAATATTTGACATGAAGCAAGATGTAAAACCTAACAAAATACTGACAAAAAAAATCTTGCAAAATATAAAATATACATTATATACCCTGACCACATGGAGTCACCCCCAGGAATTCAAGGGTGGTTTAATATTCACAAATCAATGTACTATGTATATTAATGGCATAAAGTACAAGTACCGAATGGTCATCTCAATGGATACAGAAAGGGAGAGAAACAAAACATTTAATACAACAGGAAAGAAGGGAACTTCCACAACTGATAAAACCATCGACAAAAACCTACAGCTAAAGTTATACCTTATGGTAAAACGAATGATTCCCCCCTATTATAAACAAAGCAAGGATGTTCTTTTTCACCATTTCTATTCAAGGTCTGCCAATGCAATAAAGCAAGAAAAAAGAAATTTAAAGCATATAGGTTAAAAAGGAAAAAGTTAAAATGTTTTGGGTTTTCTTTACAGAAGACATGATTACATATGCAGAAAATCCTAAAAGAAAAAAAAAATGACTAGAATAAGCAAGCTAAGATCACAGGATACAAGATTAACATATAAAAATCAATTGTATTTCTATATACTAGCAACTAACATTTCAAAACTGAAATTAAGAAAATATTACCATTCACCATAGTATCAAGAAAAAATAATAAGGAATGAATTTATTGAAAGAAGTTCAAGATTTATACCAAGAAAATTATAAAACAATGCCACAAAAGAAATGACAAATTGTAGAAATATGCCATATTTGTAATGGAAAGTTTGCTAAGATGGCAATCACCTCAAATTGATCTATAGATTTTACACAACTCCTATTAAAATCCAAGGAGGTTTTTTTTTTTTAGAAATTGACAAGCTGCTCTTAATATTTATAAAGAAATGCAAAGGAAGTAAAAGTGCCAAAACACTTTTGAAAAGAAAGAACAAAGTTGGAGAATTTAACCTACCTGATTTCAACTTACTATAAAACTACCATTACTAAGTGAGTATGGCATTGGCATAAGGATAAATTTATAGACCAAAGGAACAGAATACAAATATAAGAAATAAACTCAAACATTTATGGTCAATTGATTTTTAATAAAGGTGCCAAAACAACTGTATGGGGAAAAGGCAGTCTGACAGTGGTGCTGGAACAACTTACACCTTCAGACTTACTTCATACACACACAAAAATTAACTGAAAATCTATCAAATTCCTGGACGTGAGAATTAAAATTATAAAACTTGCAGAATAGCTTCATGACATGACTTAGAAAAAGGTCTCTTAAGATGTAAGACTTATAAAAGAAAAAAATTGATAAATTTAACTTCAAAATCTTTAAAGTTTGCTCTTGAAAAGAAACCAGAAGAAAATGGAAAATAAGCTACAGATTGGGAGAAAATATTTTCAATCTATGTATCCAATAATAGATTTGTATGTAGAATTTATAAAGAACTCTTATAACTCAATAATGAGGGGACAAACAACTCAAAAATAAAATAGGGCAAGAATTTAAGTATATACATCACCAAAGATGTACAAATGGCCAATAAGCACATGAAAATATGATCAACAATGTTGGTCACTGAGGAAGTACAAATTAAAATCACAGTGAGATTTATTAGAACAGCTATAATAAAAAATATTGACAATAGCAAGTGTTAGAAAATTGTGTAGAAAGTAAAACCCTTTTACATTGCTGGTACAAATGAAAAATACAGCCACTTTAGAAAAAACATTTGACAACTTTTTAAATGTAACTTACCACACAACCCAGTAATTTCACTCTGAGGTATTTACCAAAGAAAAATTAAAACATGTCAATACAAGCATTGCACGTGAATAATCATAGCATATTACTCAAAATACCCCGAAACTTGAAATAAATAAAATGTCCATCATGGTTACCCAGATGTTTAAAGAAAGTGTGATATATCCATATAACAGAATACTACTCAGCAAGAAAAAGGCATGAACTACTGATATGTACAAAAACATGAATGAACCTTAAAGATAGTATGTTAAGTGAAAGAATTCAGGAACAAAAAACTGCATGTTGTATAATTCCATTTATTTGAAATTTCTAAAAAAGAATAACTACAAAGACAGAAAGCAGATAAATAGATATCTATGACTGGGGTTGGGGACTGACTGCAAATAGGCACAATGGAACTTTTTGGGGCTAACAGAAGTTTCCTAAAACTGAATAATGGCGATGATTGCAGAACTATGTAAATTTAATAAAATCACTGAACTGTACATTTAAAATGAATGGGCTTTATGGTATGTAAATTACACCTCAAGTTGTTAAGTATTAAATGAAGTTGAGCTACAAAAGATGAAATGCAAAGGTATATATGATACATTAGTAAGGTAAAACAAAACAAAAAGAATACAGATCTTCCTCAACTTACAATGCAGTTACATCCTAAAAAATTCATCATAAACTTAAAAAATAAGTTAAAAATGCATTTAATATATATCCTACCAAAAAATCATAGCTTAACCCAGCTACCTTCAATGTGCTCAGAACACTTAGTCTATAATGTAAATCATCTAACAGAAAGCCTATTTATAATAATGTTCACTATTTCATGTAATTTACTGTATACAGAAGTGAAGAACAGAATGGTGTATGGGTGCAAAATGGTTGTCAGTTGTTCAGCCTCCTGACTGTGTGGCTGACTGGGAGCTATGGCTCACTGCTGCTGCCCAGGAGAGGATAGTCCTGCATGTCACTAGCCCAGGAAAAGGTCAAAATTTCTACTGAACATGTATTGCTTTCACAGTATCATAAAGTTGAACAACTGTTTAAATCGCACCATCATAAGTCAGGACCAGCTGTATATAGGCAGACCTTGGAGATATTGTAGATTTGATTCCAGACCACTGCAGTAAAGCAAATACTGCAATAAAGCAAGTCAGATGAATGTTTTCATTTCCCAGTGAATATAAAAGTCATGTTTACACTCTACTGTAGTCTATTAAGGTGTCACAGCATTATGTCTGAATAATAATGTGCATACCTTACTTAAGACATACTTTACTGCTAAAAATTGCTCACCATCTTCTAAGCTTTCAGCAAGTCATAATCCCTGATCACAGATCACCATAACAAAGTGAGTAATAATGAAAAAATTTGAAATATTGTGAGAATTACTAAAATGTGACAGGAACACAAAGTAAGCAAATGCTGTTGGAAAAATGACACCAACAGACTTGCTCAATGCAGGGTTGCCACAAACCTTCAATTACTTAAAAAAAAAAATGCAGTATCTGTGAAGTGCAATAAAGCAAAGTACAAAAAAATAAGGTATGCCTGTACAAAAAACTGTTAATAGAGGTTGCCTCTGAGAGCCAAACCTGCCATTGGAGAAGATAGGAGTTTTTTCACTTACCTGTGCAATTTTTAAAGTTGTAGAATAATAGATTTATTGATTAATTCTACTTTTTTTTTGTTTTTGCTTCTATGGTTTCTTTCTTTGAAATAGCATGAGTGGCCATAATCATTAATATCTCCCATAAACTTAAAACATGAAAATAATCTTTTAAATCTCACAAAATACCCAAAAGTGTCCACCCCCATCATCAGTTGCCTAAGAGAGTCACCCTGCAGAAAGAGCATGTGCTCTAGGAGAGAATATCTGCTAGTGGCCCTTCTGTGACTGCTGGCAATACTAAGCCACACACACCAGGAGAATGTCCTGTGTGCCTTTACTACATGGATGGATCTACACTTACCAAGAGCATGAGGACCAAATCCAATTCACTGTCAGGCAGCATGACCTCATGATGAATTGCAAAGAACTGGTTTCAAATCCTAGCTCTGCCACTCTGGCTGTGTGATTGAGGGCAGGGTACACAATTCCAGCCATTCCAATCACCCTCTTGCCTTTCTGGGTCATGTCTCTACAGCAGTTACAGGCATGGCTTTCTCCACCTGGAATGTCCTTCCAGCTTGGCTTGGAAATCTCTGGGTAGTGGTTAAGATCAGTGGTGTTAGATGCAGACTGCCTGGGTTTGAAACC